AATAAAGAATCAAAGCAGTGTGAAGAACTCCTGAAAAACTACACACGAACCTACCAATTGACCCAGCTATACCACTAGTTGTCATAAACCCAAGGAACTCATCCTATTGTAGAGATACTTGTACATCCATGTTTGTTGCTGCTCTTTTCACAACAGCTAAGAGATGGAAGCAACCTAATTGTCCCTTAACTGACAAGTAGATAATGAAAATGTGGTTCATTTACATGATGGAGTTTTACTCAGCAGTAAAGAAAGATGAAATCATGAAATTTGCAGGTAAATGGATGGAACTAGAAACTGTTATCCGGTGTCTTGGGCCCCAAGTCTAGGGATGGCGCAGGTTCCAAACTAGAAGTAGCAAACAGCGGGGGAGATGGAAGGGTGAATGTGGCTTGGGGAGTCAAGGTGTGGAGGGCTGTGCTATAGACTTACCCCAAGAGGCCTGAGGATAGGAGTGCAGGCTAGGAGAGTTAGCCGGTGATGCAGGTCCAGGGACACAGAGAGAGGTGAGGGCGGGTCAGGACCAGAAGCGGTGCTCCTGGGGCCCAAGAAAGGCACTAAGTTGTCTAAGTGATGTAACAGACTCAGAAAAAATAAAAAAAGACATATGTTCTCCCTCATATGTGGATCCTAGCACCAAATCCTCTTAAATTCCAGGATAATGGAAAGGAAACAGGGAGGCAAAGGAAAAGAAAGAATCTTAAAGAGAAGAACAGTAGGAAACAGGTGTTAATAAGAGAGATATAGATAAAAATGGGGTTGTTTTAAGGGAAGGGGGGAGGGAAGGTTATACAAGGAACCTAGGGGATAAAGGGATAGAAGGAGCTCAAGAGAGGTAAGATCATAGGAGAAGGGCATTATTAAGGGAGAAATGGGAAAAATGGGGGCACCTTAAATGGGGAAACCATCGTGGAAGGGTTAGACAATGTGAGAGATAAATAATGCCCAGCTGGTTTTAAAAAAAACAGAGGGAACCATATTAGTTCAACAACCTACTGACAACTTATATGTGCCTAGCTAGTTTTAAAAAACCAGAGGAAATCATATTAATCCAACAACCTACTGACCAACTATACATACAACTAGATCAAAAAATATAATACATGTCTAGGCAAGGTTTATCTGAGAGCATTTGGTCTTTGCCTAAGCTTTATCTACATGGAACATGGTAAATAGAAGTACCAGACTGTTGGAACTAACTTTCTTGGATGTTTAACAGCCATACATTGAGGCCATATGGTCAGAGGGACATAAAGGACAGTTTTTGCTCCTTTCCCTCCTAAGTCAACTCAACCAGATCAAAGAACATAACATGTCTAGGCAAGGTTTATATGAGAGCGTTTGGTCTTTGCCCAAGCTTTATCTACATAGCACATGGTAATTAAAAGCTTCAGACTGGTGGAACTAACAGGTGAAACTAACTAACTATGGATGTTTAACAGCCATACTGTGAGGCCTATGCTAATTTGGACAGACAGACATAAAGGACAGTTTTGGCCCTTTCCCCTGTAGGTTGACTAAGTTCCACGGGACTATGAGCATCTCTGAAAATGTCCTATAACTGTGGTTAGTCAACTATACTCTTGATCAAGGAGGCCGAGGAGACCCCACCAGATGGACTTGAACCAGTGTCCAGTATCCCACCAGATGGACTTGTACCAGTGTCCAGTCTACAAAGAGGTGGGTCAACACAGAGGAAACATTTCCTCGCAAAGATGAGGGTCAACAGAGAGGAAACATTTCCTCCATGCTTTCAATTGAAGCCAGCCATGGTTCAGCAGGACCTTTGACTTATCTTCACATAGACAGAACTGGTAAAAGAATGGAGCCAGGGGCTCCTCCCAAGCCCATGTTACCCCTGAGGAACAGAGCTTCAAATGACCTTAAGAGTAAAAATAAATTGGTTTATCTGGGCCAGTTGTAGTCAAATAAATTGGTTTATCTTGGCCAATTGTAGGGTCTTAAATACCCAAAAGGAAAGTATAACCAAAGATTAATGAAAGTATAAGCAAAGATTAATGAGGTCAATATAATTTTTTAAGAGTCCGTATGTATAGCTAAAGGCTACATAACACATATGTATAGCTAAAGGGTACATAACAAGGAACCATGTCAGACAGGAGATACCTTCCTTTGAGTTATTGGCCATGGTGGCCCAAAAGACTCCCAGACAGTAACCCAGCATAGAACTGGGAAAATGAACAGCAGACCCCAATATTATTTAAAGGAATATTGACAACTGATTGCTGCTAGATGAGGAACAGCTGATCTTCATAAAACAAGGCTCTCTAGATAGGCTGACAAGATTCAGTGGGCGGATAAGCACTAGGGAATGGCTGGGGGCACCAAGAACACAGTGGACAGTAACAGGGAGGACAGAGTATATGGATTCCAGTGGGCAAGGGGCAGGGATTCTATGGGAGTGTGCCATTTTGGATGTGGGTATATAGATGAATAAGATTGTGTGGGAGGTTCTGTATGATATACACAAAAAATTCAACAAATTTTAAAAATGACATATTTG